TGAGCCCAGGAGTTGGAGGTTGCTGTGAGCTTTGATGCCACCGGCACTCTACCCAGGGGGACAGCTTGAGGCTCTGTCTCAAAAAAAAAAAAGAAAAGAAAAATAGTTCAAGAAAAATAAAAAGACTATGGGCCCTCTGTATTAAATCCCAGCCTTGCCTATGATGTCAACTCATAAAGTGAAACATAATTGTTTTACTAAACTGATTTGTTAAATAAAACTAAAAGACTAACCAGAGAGTATGGAATTATATACAGTAGTTATAGTTACTCTAAAACCTTAAGACTCAACAAAGGTCACCTGTTAGCCACACTGGAAAAACTTGTGCAGTTTTAAATGTTATCTGCTGAATCTAGATGTTACCCAGAGGAATTATCCCATAGTTTATGTTACTACTTTAGTTTAAATTTAACAATGAACTAGCCTTCATAACAAAAAGAATACAAATAATAACTAAAACTTTGAGTATCACACCTGGAAACTATATGTAACTTATGGGCCTCAAAAGTTAAATAAAGTGAAATACATAAACAGAACCAAAAAGCAAAATTAGTAAACTCTGCCAGAAAGCAAAGCTTAATTAAATACAGACCTTGCCACTAATGTTGTTCAAAAAAGCCTCTGTCAAACCTCTGCAATTTAATAGAAACTCCTTAAAAAAAAAAAAAAAAACTAAAAAAAACTGAATAAACAAAAATCCTAGAAAGGGTAACAGGAAAAACCTTCACTTGAATATTTAACCATGTTCTATTTAATCTTTTGTGTCTGTACATTTTTTCTCTCTGAAAATAATCAAAGAAATTAAGTCTAAATTCAGAATCAGAACCTGTTTCCCCTAACCAGGGCAAAAAAACCCTTTACACCATCATCCTAACTACACAGCAACAAGAATGAAAAATCCTCACCTGAAGTCAACACAGCCCACTAAAGCTTCACTGTTCCTTAAAAAGCAGCTGGGGTAACTTTTAAGACAGCCAACATGCTCCAGCCACATACTAAAAGCTGGCTGGTCAACATTAAGCTGAAGCCTGAGAAAACTCCTCAAGGATGTTAATTAAACTTTGAACTAAACTTTAAAAAAGGAGGGAAGGCTCACCACCCTCTTAACTGCCCTAACTAGATCCCTCCTCATACAGTTACTTCCCCTCACCCTTGACCTGTGTGTAGTAAATCAATTAATAGCATATGGAAGAGCTAAAAAAAAACCCATAAGTGTACCCCTCTCAATCAAGATGATTCAAAGATTTGAATCAGGAACACAAAACCAGTGGGGAATGTTAGGCCTAAACTTACTAGAAACTAAGACCACAGTGACTCCATCTTCTGGCAGCCCCCCTTGCCCACCCCTGGGTTAGACACTCAGTGGAAATTTCCACTGAGCACCTGAAGCAGGTTGTGCTTGCCCACAATAACCACCAAGTTCCACTTCTGTAAACAAGCTTGTTCCGCTTGCTAGACGCCTAGAAAGTCCCCAAGCCCTGAACTCACCCCCCACCCCTTGCACCTCTAACCCCGTTAAAACCTCCGACCTCTAGGGCAGCTGGTTAATCAATCTAAATAACGAACTGTGTCACTTTTAAATTTATCTGAAGCGCTCTTCTTCCTTCATGCCTCGCAATTTTTGGCGTAACAAGCTGGCTCAAGCAGGTTCAAACCCTCCAGCCTCAATGTACGCAGCTGGTGCTGTAACCACTGTGCTACGGGCGACGAGCTGAAAGTATAGTTCTTAACCTCAGTTACTAGCCTACTATTTCAAATTACCAAAGGGTTTAAATTTGAGGTTAACTCCCTTCGTTTGCAAAGGGTCTCAAATTTAGACATTTGATAATATCTCTTTTCTTTATTGATTTGTTTTTGAGATAGAGTTTCACTTTGTTGTTCCAGGCTAGAGTGCCTTGGCCTCACCTTAGCTCACAGCAACCTCAAACTCCAGGGTTCAAGTGATCCTTCTGCTTCAGAACCTGGACGTGCTGAGACTACCAGTGCCAGCCAGGATGCCCATCTAGTTTTTCCCCCTATTTTTAGTAGAGAAAATGTCTCACTTTTGCTAAGGCTTTAACTCCTGACCTCAAGGGATCCTCCCTCCTCTGCCTCCCAGAATGCTAGGATTACAAGCGTGAACCATCTCCTGGGGCCCAATATCTCTCTCTCTCTCTTTTTTTTTATACAGTGCCTCAAGCTGTCACCCTGGGTAGAGTGCTGTGGCATCACAGCTCACAGCAATCTCAAACTCTTGGGCTTAAGCAATTCTCTTGCATCAGCCTCCCAAGTAGCTGAGACTACAGGAGCCGCCACAACACCTGGCTTTTTTTTGGGGGGGGGGTGTAGTTGTCATTGTTGTTTGGCAGGCCCAGGCTGGATTCGAACCCGCCAGCTCTGGTGTATGTAGCTGGCACCTTAGCCCCTTGAGCCACAGGTGCCAAGCCCCAATATAACTTTTACTGTCAAAGGCAAGATTGCAATACATCATTTGACTTCATATAATCCTATTAAGACTTTAGGAAAAGCGCAATTAGATAATCCTATACTTTTATAGATTTTGAAAATATTAACATTCAAAACATATTTTTGGCATAGTTTGGGGGTTATTTTAATATACTCAGAGCTCCACAAAAAGAAGAATCCTGAACACTTTATCTCTGGGGATAACTTCTTTTACTGGGAATTTACACCTTGCACTTTACTAACATTGCCCGTATTTCCCTATAATTGCCTATAATTACTCTCATTTTAAGGATGAAGAAATTGGGATGAATGAAAGTGGTCAAATCGTTTACTAAAAGACAGCTAATAAAAGGTAGAGCCATCTCACACCCAAAAAATCTAAGGGCCCTCCCTGCCTGAGTCAAACCTGACGCTACCCTAGCCCTTGAGGGTCCCACTCCGGCTGCCAGGTAGAGATGACGTCAATGGTAGGATCCTACGCCCACAAAAGGTCCCCTCCCATCTCCCCTTCCGAGTTGCTCCATCCCAACCGAGATCGCCGGTCCCAGGGTAGCGAGAAGAGACCACCCCAGGCGGGCGGCGCTGCGCATGCTCAGCCGCACAGCAAGTCGGGAAAAGGGCGGGGCGACCCGGACGGTTTCGCAACCGAGAGCGTTTGGGGATCTTGGCGCCGCGAGTGACTCTGAGAGATTTTAGTAAGCCTCCTTCCGCGGCTCTGCTTTCGGTCTTTACTCCGCGCCTAACTGGAAAGGGGCAGAGTGCTGTCTGAGGGAGGATGACGCGCCGGGTCGGGGTTCTAGAGACGGAGCCTGATGCGGATTCCGCCATGTGGGGGTCGGGAACTCCGGGCCAGGCCCTGACCTGGATTGTGTTTGTCGCCTCCTTTCACTATCCCCGCAGAGAATCGGGGGGTCGTTGCTCCCCACTTCCAGCAGTTCTCGCTGCCTCCTGCTCCTGCGTCGTTACTGGGCTCTCAGACTTTGGTCTCTCTCTGCAGCCTCCGTTTCTAAAGTACTCATCGGATCACACCTGTGGCACTCCATTAAGCGGTGATTTTTCAAACACTAAAAAAAAAGTCATGGAACTACTTTTACAGATAGAACCATACACAACATCCCAGCTTAAAGAGATGGAATAATTGTAAAAGTTTGACTCGGTGAATTCGGATTTGAAATTGGGATAAGATGAAGGTGCGGTACTGTATTTTGCTTTAGTTTTCAAGATTGAGATCTTCGTTTGCATGGACTAGTGTTTGCAAACGGTAACTTAATCAGCTTTCTCGGGGTGCAGTGTGTCAGCATGCTTTTCAATTAAACTAAACGATAAGCTTGAAAGTAGATAAGAGGGGGAATTTCACAAATAACATCGGACAATAACTTGTATTCCCCTTCCCCAAAATAGCAGATGATAAGCGCCCAAAAGGCCAGGCCACTGGCGTAAGCCTATAATTCTACCACTCTGCAAGGCAGAGGCGGAAGGCTGGCTTGAGGTCAGGATTTTGAGACCAGCCTGAACAAGAGTGAGACCCCACCTCTCTTAATAAAAAAAGAAGCCTCCGAAATGCGTAATATCTTAATTAGAACACTTCACACATTTAACTGTTGGAGGCTAAGAGCCTTAACAGAGTAGGTGCGCTTGGTAATAGTGAATTTGCTCGTGTGGTTTACTTGTGTGAACATAACACAAGTCAGATTGTGTTGGAAGTCACCTTGTCACCCTTGTGGTGACACCTTTGTCACCTTGAATAGTGCTGTGGTGTCATAGCTCATAGCAACTTCAACTCTTGGCCTCAAGTGATCCTCTTCCCTCAGCCTTCCAAGTTGGATTGGTGGAAGTCTGTAACATTACTAATCAATATCAGAGCGGCAAATAATTGAACTGTATTCACCTAAAAAGTAGGAAATAGTGTTTTCTAAAGGTCTGTGTTAACTTAAACCATGCTTTCGAAGTCTCCAAAATACTTAATGCTTGGTACATATAACACAGTTAAATGTATCTCACCATGTTATTAGTTTTAAAGAAATTTTTATTTAAAAAACAAAATAGGAAATGTTTGCTGAACTTCAAAGCACAGTTTTGAGAGCTCCTGGTTTACCAGATTAAGTTCAAGATCTTTGGTATTCAGGGGCCTTCCTGATAGGACTCAAGTTGACTTTTCCAGGTTCAGTCCTTCTAGTATTCTTGCACTTTATCTTCAGCACTAACTCTACTCCTTAGCATTCCCATGTATTTGTGCTTACATACTGTACCTACTGCCCCTCTGCCAGGAATATCTCTTCCATCATTGCTTAGTAGACAACTTTTTTTTTTTTTTTTTTGAGACAGAGTCTGACTCTATCACCCTGAGTAGAGTGCTGTGGCATCACAGCTCACAGCAACCTCCAACTCTTGGGCTTAAGCTATTCTCTTGCCTCAGCCTCCTAAGACTCCCAAGGCTGTAGGTGGGACTACAGACACCTGCCACAAGGCCTGGCTATTTTTTGTTGCAGCTGTCATTGTTTAGCAGGCCTGGGCCAGGTTTAAACTTGCCAGCCTCAGTGTATGTGGCCAGCGCCATAACCACTGAGCTATGGGCGCTGAGCCCTAGCTGTTTTTAGAGATGGTGCCTTGCTCTTGCTCAGGCTGGTCTCTTAACTTGTGAGCTCAAGTGATCCACCTGCCTGGGCCTCCCAGAGTACTAGGATTACAGGCATGAGCCACCGTGCCTCGCCTAGGTGTTTTTTTTTTTTTTTTTTTTTCTGCTGGGTAGATACCTAGTAATGGGATTGCAGGATCAAATGGAAGGTCTACTTTTAGCTCTTTGAGGATTTTCTATACTTCTTTCCAAAAACACTGCAATCCAGCCAATACTGTATAAGTGTTCTCTCTGCACCACACCAGCATCTGCAGCTTTGGGACTTGTGATGTGGGCTGTGATAGGGTTAGGTGATATTTCAAGGTGGTTTTGATTTGCATTTCTCTGATGACTAGGAACAATGAGCATTTTTTCATGTTTTGTGTGTCAGGAGAAGGTTCTCTTCATATCTCTTGCTGCACAGTGACTAATTGGATTGTTTGCTGTTGTCGATTTGCTTAAGTTCTTTATAGATTCTGGTTATTTGCTCATTTTCAGGATGGATGCTAATATCGTTATCCATTCTGAAGGTTGCCTATTCACTTTCTTTCCTGGGTCCTTACTGTGTAGAAGCTTTTTTTTTCTTTTTTTTGAGACAGAGTCTCAATTTTGTCACCTTGAATAGTGCTGTGGTGTCATAGCTCACAGCAACTTCAACTCTTGGCCTCAAGTGATCCTCTTCCCTCAGCCTTCCAAGTAGCTGGGACTATAGGTGCCCGCCACAACTCCTGGCTATTTTTTAGAGGCAGAGGTCCTTACCCTTGCTCAGGCTGGTCTCGAACCTGTGGCCTCAGGCAGTCCACTCATTTTGGCCTCCCAGAGTGCTAGGATTACAGGTGTGAGCCACCACACCCGGCGTGTGTAGAAGCTTTTAAGCTTCATCAGGTCTCATTTATTTTTGTTGTTGCAGTTGCTAATAGTGTCTTCTTAAAATCTTGCCCTAGGCCAATAATATCATTAAGTTTTTGTTATTGTTGTTTTGAGACAGAGTCTCACTTTGTCACCCTGTAGAGTGCAGTGGTGTCACACCTCACAGCAACCTCAAAGTCTTGGTCTCGAGCGATTCTTTTTCTTTTTCTTTTTTTTTGGCCAGGCCTGGGTTTGAACTCACCACCTCCAGCCCCTGCCAGCACCCTACTCTTTTGAGCCACAGGCGCCGCCCTCAAGCAGTTCTCTTGCCTTATCCTCCCAAGTAGCTGGGACGACTGCCACCTGGAACAACACCTGACTATTTTTAGGGATGGGATTCTCACTCTTGCTCAGGCTGCTCTCCAACCCTTTGAGTTCAGGCAATCCACCTGCCTCAGCCTCCCAGAGTGCTTACAGGTGTGAGCCACCACACCCAGTCCAATATCATTAAGTTTTCCCCACGCTTTCTTTTCTTTTTTTCTTTTTTTTTGAGACAGAGCCTTAAGCTGTCCCCCTGGGTAGAGTACCATGGCATCACAGCTCACAGGAATCTCCAACTCCTGGGCTCAAGCGAGTCTCCTACCTCAGCCTCCCAAGTAGCTGGGACCACAGGTGCCTGCCACAATGCCCGCAACCACAATTTTTTGGTTGCAGCCGTCATTGTTGTTAGGTGGGCCCGGGCTGGATTTGAACCCACCACCTTAGGTGAACTTGGCTGGTGCCTTAGCCACTTGAGCCACAGGCGCCTAGCCTCCCCATGCTTTCTTCTAGGATTTTATAATTTTGTTTTTGTTTTTGTTTTTTTTGAGACAGAGCCTCAAGCTGTCGCCCTGGGTAGAGTGCTATGGCATCACAGCTCACAGCAACCTCCAAACCCTGGGCTCAAATGATTCTCCTGCCTCAGCCTGCCAACTAGCTGGGACTACAGGCACTTGCCACAACGCCCCCTATTTTTTGGTTGTAGCCATCATTGTTGTTTGGCGGCCCAGGCTGGATTCAAACCCGCCAGCTCAGTTGTATGTGGCTGGTGCCTTAGCCACTTGAGCCGTTTTGTGGGGTTTTTTTTCTTTTTTTTGACAGTTTCACTTTGTCACCCTCAGTAGAGTGCTGTGGCATCACAGCTCACAGCAACCTCTAGCTCTTGGGCTTAGGTGATTCTCT